GTTCCTAATTGGAGCTTTCTCGAACGGGTTAGCAGAGGAAGTCAAGGCTGAAGTGCGTATGGTGAGGCCTACTTCTTTGGTTCAGTTAATGGACTTGGCCCAGAAAATTGAGGAAAAGAATTGGGCCCCTTGAAAGGGCTCAAGTCTTGCGGACCACACGGTCCAAAACAAGTGGTGATTGGGCTGAAAATTTTAGACAGGAGACTTCTTTTGGGCAGAGGAGATCAGGGTGGAGATAATTTTATTAATAGTTCCAGCTGGGTTCCATCGAAACTGTTGGAGAGAGAAATGGAGTTACTACAGAGTTGACACGTGCTAGTACAGCTCATTCTAGCATGTCGGTCAATAAGAATTAAGAAAGTCTTCCTTCTTCTAGTTTTACAAGGAAAAACGACAACAACTTTAGGAGGAAACTCTCAGATGAGGAGATGCAGCGGCGGAGGGAGGGTGATTTGTGTTTTCGATGTGAAGAAAAGTGGTGGTTTGGCCACGTATCCAAGAATCCTTAGTTGCAGCTTATCATCGCGGCAGTGGACAAAGATGTTGGGGACGGTATTGACGCCGTAGTTGAGGAGGAGCCGCGGGAGTCAGCAGCGGAGCAGGGGGAGGGGCCCATGGAACTTTCCATGAATTCCATAGTTGGGATTCCATCGGTGAACACAATGAAGGCGAAAGGTACGATTTTGGGTAGAGAGGTTGTAATTTTCATAGATTCGGGCGCTTATCATAATTTCCTTTCCACGGGAATTGTTGCGGAATTGAATATTCCGGTAGGTGGGACACCTCATTTTGGAATTATGGTAGGGAATGGGTACCGGGTAGCTGAGCAAGGGGTTTGTCGACAAGTGGAGGTCCGATTACAGGGCTTAGAAATAGTTCAAGATTTCTTTCCCAATGCTGACGTAATTTTGAGAATTTGTTGGCTTGGTATGTTAGGGGAAGTAAGTGCGAATTGGAAGAACCTTACTATGCAGTTTGATTGGCATGGAGAACGTATTTTACTCCAAGGGGATCCTTCATTATCCAAAACTTTGGTCTTTCTCAAAGCAATGATTAAAGCAATTTGAGATGAGGGACATGGATTCTTGGTTGAGTTTGGACAGGTGACGATGTTAGACCGGTTGGAAGAGAGCACCACGCATGCTACATTAGAGGAGCTATTGACGGAATTTCAGTCGGTCTTTGAACCGCTAGCACATCTTCCTCCATCTCGGTTTCATGATCATACGATTCCCCTTAAGGAAGGGGCGGATCCACCGAATTTAAGGCCATATTGTTTTCCTCATTCTCAAAAGAATGAGATTGAACGAATTGTGAAAGAAATGATGGTTGCGGGTATCATTAAGCACAACAATAGTTCGTTTTCTAGTCCGGTGTTGTTAGTCAAGAAGAAATCCGGTGAGTTGCGTTTTTGCGTAGATTACCGTGAGCTAAACAAAATCACAATTCCTGATCGGTGTTCGATTCCGGCTATAGATGAGTTGTTAGATGAACAGAGAGGTGCGATCTTCTTTTCCAAGTTGGATTTGAAGTCAGGCTACCATCAGATTCAGGTGCGTACAGAGGACACCCCGAAGACAGCTTTTCAGACTCATGCCGGTCATTATGAGTTTCTGGTTATGCCATTCGGCTTAACCAACGCACCTGCCACTTTTCAATCTCTAATGAATGAGGTTTTCCGCCCACACTTACGCCAATTCATTTTGGTCTTGTTTGATGATATCCTGGTGTACAGTAAGGATTGGAATTCTCATTTGTTCCATCTACAGAGTGTCTTTGCCCTGTTGCAACAACATCAATTGGTGGCCAATAAGAAGAAGTGTGTTTTTGGGCAGCGTTGAGTAAAATATTTGGGCCATATCATTACTGAAACAGGGGTTCAAGCTGATCCGGAGAAAATCGCTGCCATGGTGGACTAGCCCGTTCCATAGATTGTTCGGGATTTACGGGGGTTTTTGGGGCTCACATGCTATTACCAGCGTTTTGTGAAGGATTATGGGAAGGTGGCCGAGCCTTTAACACGCCTTCTTAGAAAAGATGCATTTGTGTGGACATCTGAAGCACAGGGAGCCTTTGAGGACCTAAAGCACCGAATGGTCACCATCCCTGTGCTCGTTTTGCCAGACTTCACCAAAACCTTTGTCATCAAGACTGATACTTTGGGGCGTGGTTTAGGGGCTGTGTTGATGCAAGAGAACATGCCTATTGCTTATATTTGCCAATCACTTTCTGATCGGGGCCGTTCCAAATCGGTGTATGAATGTGAACTAATGGCTGTTGTTTTGGCATAAAAAAAATGGCGTCATTATCTTCTGGGTAGACATTTTATTGTACGATTTGCAAGCTCATTGGGCTGGACTTTGAAATTCAGTATAAACCTACGCGTGACAATAGGGCCGTGGATGCCTTGTCCTTAGGGGTGGCAATTCGTGTCACGTATCGTGTTCGTGTCGTGTTTTGATCGTTTCTTTTTAAATTTGCAGTCAACCCGAATACGACCTGTGACACGAAATTTTTTAAAAACCGCAACACGAACACGACACGATCACTTTACGAGTTGACACGACACGACCCGAAAATGACCCGTGACACGAAATTGACCCGTGAATCCGAAATTGACACGAAAATTTTATACTTTTATTTAGTTTTTTACATATTAAAAATAACTTAAAATTCATAACACACTAAATTTCAATAACATCAATTGAAATTAAGTAAATAATAGTGTAAGATTTTGAGTATAACTATCATGATATTACAAGTTTATTATCAAATTTAAAATATGAAATGAAAAATATATGTATTTTTTAATTTTTTACGAGTTTCGTGTCGTGTTCGTGTTAGGCGGGTTCAACCCGAAATTGACTCGTGTTTTTCGTGTCAATTTCAGGTCGACCCAATTCTGACCCGAACCTCTTTTTTCTCAACCCTAACCCGCAAAATTCATGTCATTTTCGAGTTGTGTCGTCGTGTCGTGACCCATATTACCGGCCCTACTTGTCCCGCAAACATGAGGATCCCCAATTGCAAGTGTTTTCGATTGTGCATACACGGGAATTGGAGGCGATTGAAGAAGAGGTGCATAAAAATGTTAAATTGCGCCTTGTTCAGGGCCTATTGTTGGATCCTCACTTCAAGGCAGATTATCAACTTAAGGGTGGTTGCCTTTACTACAAAGACCGGTTAGTGTTGCCTCAGAATTCTCCATTAATTGCAAAGTTTTTTCGAGAATTCCATTCTTCGGCGATGGGGGCCATTCGTGGTTTTTCAGGACTTATAAGCGTTTAGCGGCAATTTTATTCTAGGATGGCATGAAACGTGATATCCGGCGCTCTGTAGCTGAATGTGACGTATGCCAGCGAGTGAAGTATGATACTCTTAAACCAGCTGGCCTGTTACAGCCCTTGCCTATTCCAGAGCAAGTGTTGGATGATGTTTCCTTAGACTTCATCGGAGGCTTGCCTAAAGCTTTGGGTCGTGATACTATTATGGTGGTGGTGGATCGCCTCACCAAGTATGTGCATTTTTTTTTCACTGTCCCATCCTTTTACAGCCCGGGAGGTCGCGGACATCTTTGTACGGGAAGTTGTCCGTTTGCATGGTTTTCCTCGTTCCATCGTTTCGGACAGGGATCGTGTGTTTATCAGTAACTTTTAGAAGGAGCTGTTTCGGTTGTCCGGTACTGAGCTTCGCATGAGTTCCGCTTACCATCCACAAACGGATGGCCAGACCGAGGTGGTTAACCGGAGTTTGGAGGATTATTTGCGGTGTTTTTGTGGTTCCAAACCTCGTCAGTGGCCAAATTGGTTAGGCTGGGCTGAGTTTTGGTTCAATACTTCCTTCCATAGCTCTGCAGGAATGACACCTTTCCGCGCTTTGTATGGCCGTGAGGCCTCTATTCTGCTTCGTTGGGAGGAAGGTAGTTCGGTGGTGGATGCCGTTAACCAACAATTGCGAGCTCGGGATAATATTCTTCGGGAGCTGAAGGATAGGTTGACAGTTGCTCAGAATCGTATGAAGTTGTATGTGGACAATAAGCGCTGGGATGTCCAATTTCAGGTCGGGGATTGGGTTTACTTAAAGCTCCAACCTTACCGTTTTGCGGTCATTGGCTCGCCGGCGAAATGAGAAGTTGAGCCCTCATTTTTATGGCACTTTTCCGGTTGTGGAGCGCGTTGGGGCGGTTGCGTATCGTCTTCAGCTTCCTTCTTTTGGCCGTATTCATGATGTCTTCCATGTGTCTCAGTTGCGGAAGGTATTATAGCCGTCCACGCCAGTGCAACAGTTGCCGGTGCCTTTGACAGATGACTTGGAGTTGGCTGTGGAACCTGCTGTATTGCTTCAGTCTCGAACACTTTTGGATGGTTCCCGTGAGGTTTTGGTACAATGGAAGGACCTTCCTGACTGTGACAGCACTTGGGAGTCGTGGGACTTATTCTCCAACCAATTTCCTCACATGAACCTTGAGGACAAGGTTGGTGATCTCTCGAATATCACCATTGCTAAAGGGATTATTAGTTTCTGAATTGAATCCATATTTTTCCGTTCTGTTTCCTGTCAATTTGTTGTGGATTCTATCCGTATAGTATGTGACAAGTTTACTACAGCAAATAGTATTGCATTGGAGAGTGTTTTTTGCACTCAAATACTAAATTTTCAATTCGGCATATGAATTATAGCATTGCATTAGAGATGCTCTTAAAGCGCTGTTTTTTTCCTTAAAACATTATCAGCTTGTCAAATTGACCTATTTATAAGAGATCGGTAGGGCTGCAGAATCATTTATCCTTCATTGTCAAAGCAAAGAGATAATTGTGATTGAAGAAAAACTGTACAGCTTTCCTTGTCAGACCTTTATTTAGTATATTCTTGGTTTGGCTAATACAGTTTACCTTCATATCAGTGCATCCATAAACATTCAATTTACTCTTGTCCATTGGCAAGAAAGAACACATACAACATCTAGATGCACATAATAAAGAGTGGAAATCTTAATTGCTCCTAAACTTTACTTCATTCTCATTTCATTCATTCATGTCTAATATTATTGTTGACATTATACAGCTTACTTTGACATTTTCAACTCCATCTAATCCATTATACACACAATTCTTGGCTCATGATCATGAGACGTAACACAAACTGCTATTCACCACACATTTTGGAAAGAATCAGCACCCGAAATTGGGAGTGATAACTAATAAAAACTTCGAATGAGGATGCAACAATGGACGTACACGGCTCATTAGTCATCACTACTGAGATCTCCCCATCTCACATTATATTTTGCAGCAAGGTAATGTGCTCCCACCGGACCTCGACTACCATAGGGGTAGAGCTCAGGAGCTATCATCTTGTCCTCGAGTTCCTTCAACAGCGGCGTGAATAATGCCCAAGCAGCATCTAGTTCGTCGCTTCTGATGAACAGCCTTCGTTCACCTTCAATTGCATCCAAGAGTAGTCTCTCATATGCATCTGGTATTTCTCTCGGATACCTTGACACAAGAACCAAAGTAATGTCATGCCTTAATTAGATGAACACAAAAATATTCTTGCAGTATTGTTTCTATCCAAAATCATCACTGTTTTTCCACGTCATACTAGTTTCCAGAATTAAAAATGTTTCAAATTTCGCAGATGATTCTGTAATGAATAATTCACAAGAAGCAAAAAAAAAGTTAACAACAAAGATTTTAGTATTCAGGAAAATCAAGTTTATACAATGTCTTTAAAATACTGATAGTACACAAAATGACCTTCTCAGTGGTTGTCCTAGTTTATATTAGGACATGCATATAAATAAAAAACAACTAATTTCATGTCAAGATCAGAGATTCTCGTACCTCGCTCGGTAGAGCAAATTTAGGTCACTGCGGTCTAATCTCATTCCAAGACCAGGCACTTTGTTATTGATCTTCAAATAAATAGCTTCATCAGGTTGCACACGAAGCACGAGTTCATTTGTAGCCTTGTCTAAATCAGTACCAAAATTCTTCTTGTACAAGTTACCTGGAACATGTCTGAACTGGACTCTAATCTCTGCTCTGAATGATAGTTGTACCAAGATTTCAGGCTACCAAATCATTTAGCTCGCCACAACAAACAAGGCTCGAGTTTAAGGAGCAATTTAAACATACCTTCTGGTATGGAGAGCCTTGCCAGCCTTCATCAGGAATGGAACTCCATCCCATCTGGCATTGTCAATGAAGAGAGCCGCAGCTGCAAACGTCGGTGTGAGACTGCCATGTGGAACAGTTGGATCATCGAGGTAAGCGGAATATGATTTCCCACCCTTGTTGTGGCCCTTGTATTGACCAACAACGACATCTTCAAGTTGCAATGGTCTCATTGATCTTAGAACTTTTACCTGTATCAAGCAATAATCACTAGCTATGATGCACTTAAACTTTCAATTCCATTTCTTTCCCGACCATAATCTAGACAACGAGAGATTGGAAAAGGAAACTTTCAATACCTTTTCATTCCTAACATCCTCAGCATCTAAGCTGACGGGTGTTTCCATTGCAAACAACGCTAGAATTTGTAGAAGGTGGTTTTGCATTATATCGCGTATAATGCCGTAGCTGTCAAAATATCTGGCAACAAAAACAATTGCTTTCAGATGATCATATTTTTGTCTCAAAAAGGATAGTATACATACTTTCTTAAAGGATCATCAAGTAAAGAAGCTGACCCTCCACGTCCCTCTGTCCCAAAATCTTCCGAAAATATTAGTTGCACATTGCGAATATAGTTTCGGGACCAGAGAGGCTCAAAAATGAGATTTGAGAAGCGAAGTACTGATAGATTTTCAACGAGCTCCTTGCCCAAGTAATGATCAATCCTGAACAATTTCGACCGCATCAAAATTTCCTCTTCCGTGAATCTAATCTTAAGAAATTAAAAGAGCAAACTAAACCTGAATATCTGGTCTTCAGCAAGATATTGCTTCAAGGATCTGGTTAGCTCACCGGATGATTCTGAGTCACGACCAAATGGTTTTTCAACAATGACTCTAGTCCACCCATTTTCCGAAGAAGCTTTGAGACTAGCACATTTCACCACATCCACAAATATGTTTGGAGGTATGGATAGGTAAAACAGCCTGTGTGCTAGCTTTCCAGCCTGAAGAAGGGAAGTAATGAGGATGACAAAATTCTTATAGATGACAAGATAACTTTTCTAAACCAAGGGCATAAGATCAATAAAACATAGGCAACATGATTTTTCATGTCTTGTTTTCTCTTGTATTTGCTTTTTAGGTAGCTGATGTTATTTTCTGTAAAAGCCCCACGTCCCCAATTTGGATCATCATCCATGGTTTTTTCTTTTGGTGATATGTTACCTTTTCTTTCATAGCAGATGGATTGACTTAAACCTTACATTTGAAATTAGCCCTCCCTGAGCTTAAAACTGACCACCATAGTTTAACAAGAGAGCTAGGGGTGTACAAAAAATACCTCCTTTTCTTTTAGCTTTTCGTCTAATTCTCCAAAATGATCCTCCGAGTTATACTGACCAGAATGATAAAAACATCTTTTCAAGAACTGATCCATTTTGTCCTCACAATTCTCCCTGCAAATCCTAGCACATATGCATCAATATATGCAATTGACAAGATTATAATGCAGTTGCAACTGTAAAGTAGTTTTTTAACAATGCGGATTACCTTTTATCAATTCTGCACGTCAAAGTTCTGCTAACCATGTTCCTAAGTTCCTCATCACTCATTTTAGTCCGAGCATAGCCAAACACTATAAAATTCTGCCAAAACGCGAAAAAATCATATAAAAAATGGGTAAAACTATGGTCTCGTTCATTTTACCAATTCGAGTTGCTCTCACAAAAAATCACATCTAACTTTTTCTGTTACACTGAAAAGTTCTCACATAAAATCACATCTCAGCTCAAATTGAAAACTCGAATTCACGTACTGGACGAGGCCTATATGTTTGTATATCTTCTCAAATGTTGAGTTTTTTTCCTAGAAAAGAAACACAATACAGGTTATCAAAAGGAGACAACAAGCTAAAACCTTGGGTAGAAAATCTTCATAATAAAGGGCAAAAAGGGCTGGAAAAATCTTCTTCTTGGCAAGGTCCCCAGAAGCTCCAACAACAGTTATACTTAGAGTAGACTCTCCATTTTCCGGTTCCGAAAAGGAAAAGAGTTCCTCTTTCCACTGGATATGATCATTGGCCAGAGGATTTGCAGCCAAACCTACTCCAAACTCCCATATAAGATTGAGCAATGGTGATACCAAGAGAGTAAATAAAGCATTTAACAGATTACATATTGCAGATAGAAAACGTAACGTTGACATCTGAAAAGGTGGTCAGAAAAACCAAAACACAGAAATGTTTCACAAAGAATAAGCTAGTTTCATTTGTTGGACATCATCACATTTTACATTATCAATTCTAAGGGACATTCTCTCAGTTTCTGACCATTAGAGCTGATAAAAAATTACGTTATATTAAAAAAAAGATGCAGAACAAACTGACACAGACGGCTGAAAAGTAGAGAAATTTATTTTTTCTAGTCCTACAAGAGAAACTTCCACTTTTAAAAATGTGTCAATTACATAGGAACATGGTAAATGATGAATGATTATGGAACTACAATGTATACCAGAACTCTGGTACGACCATTTTTTTTTTTTTTTTTTTTTTTACTGAGGGTACCGTCTATACAATTTATTTAAGCTTTGATGATGGACAAAGCAATTTGAAATTTTAGATACTTTAGCAAGTGGAACCCAAAAAAAAAAAAAACGGTATAATTGTTTTGATCATAATCTAACACCTGAAAAGGCATTGTCCTGCAGTTAGTTAGCATTACAAACGGTAGGAAAAAAAAAAAAAACACCGTTAAGTCATCGTTTTTCTTCGAATGTGGGACTGTTAGAAGTATACAATTCAAAGTAAAGAATACTTATAACAGACAGAACATTAAAAGTAGATCCCAAAAATCAAAAGCTTAAAGTAACAACCCAGAGCAATTTATTGAACATGGTATAATAAAAGCACATGAAAAAAGTGAAAATTTTCCAAGTAGTATGAAATTAGGAAGAGTAATTAAGAAAGATAGAAAAGAACTGACCATCATGGGAAGAAACAGCATTTAGTGGATGCCCATTTGAGGATTTGAGCTCAAAGTGCTTCCTTCCATGTTTTCTTGTACCAATCTGAGAAACCGAGGAAAAGGAAAAATGTTTGTTTCTTGGGAAAATGATGAATTTGCTGAATAGGGTCGTCTCATTTTTGCGCAAAGAAGTAGATGCAGAACAAGAACCCAATTGTGAAGCCATGCAGATTTTGTTTGGTGATCTGAATGAAACTCAGAGTTCATTGAGATAAATATCTGTGTAATGTGATATAACTACATGAAATATCTACTTATCTAGTATCTTGTGTTACAATTCTACATGATTATTAATTGACCTTTTGAATACTTGAACAGGCAACAGTTTATGAACGAAGGAAAAGTACAGGATAATGTATTAATGTGCAATGTGAGGTCGAGAATTTTTCTACTTTCTTTTTGGTGCCAGATTTCAAGGGCAATAAGGTAAACTGATTATAACAGAAAATGAACCTTCTACTACAAAGTAGATGCAGATAAAATAGTAATGTAATTTTTGTCTTTTTATATGACACTTTTATGTCTCTCTTTCACTCATTTTTTTTTTTAACTCTTTTTTATTGAAAAATCCAAAATTTCTTCTAATATTTAATTTATTTACTTATTATTATCTTAATAATTGAGTTAGTTAAAAAGGAAAAAAAATAGTAAAGCACATTTAAGAGGAAAAAAACAAAGAAAAAAATGATATAGTTGTTGGAGGGTAAAATACTGAACCTTAAATGAGACTCTAAATGAGGTCTGAAGACCATAAAAAAGAGCATTAACTGGTCAAGGACGGCTCAGTCCTAAAAGTCATGTTAGCAAAGAGTTTTCCTAGGAGACGACCGCTACGAGGAGACATATGATATGAGTAGGAGGTCGATCGTTATAAGAAGGGGACATGAGGTCGACCACACTCATGAGCAATAACAAAAAAAGTAAGGGAAGCTAGTACAGAGACGAGGCTACGCAAAGATAAAGATTTGAAGGATTTCCTCGGAGATTTACTATTTGTAATCTAAAAAATATGAAATTTAAATAAGAAAACCGCCCTAATTGATTGTGATCTTTATCTTTTAGGAAACTATCTCAAAAGATAAGGGGAATATTCTAAATTTAAATAAGGAAATAATCAGGTGTGATGACCATGAATATAAATACGAGATTATAGATGAGAAAATCCTTAAGTCTCATTCTGAGCATTAGAGTGTGTATGTCCTCCAAAGATAATAAATTTTCTCTCATCCCCACAATGGACGTAGCTCTCAAATCAAAAGTGAACAACTATAAATCTTGCGTGTTCTTGTTTTAATTTCACTTTTAATTGTGTTTCTGATTATTAATTCATGTTCACCATTACGAAATTTGTTTTTATGCTGTTGTCGAATTTTCTCCAGCAACAATAGTAAATTATTTATGGGACACATAAGAAATTAATTATTTTAAATGGAGTAAAGTGAGGAGAAAATCATAGAAGTATTTTGTAAGAAGATTAAAGTACAAAAAAGTATTTGGCAAAAGATTAAAAAACACTAAAAAAACAAAAGGAAGAATAAAAATAGGAAAAAGTAAAAATAAAAACAAACATAATAGATAAATGAGAGATTAAAAGAAAAATTAGAAATATGAAAATGTAAAAATAAAAATAAAACAGAAAAATGAGTGATTGACATGTGCAAAAAGGACGAGCAACCTCTTTAGCTTTTTTATGTATGTTAAGATAAGATTAAGATTAATTACAAATTTTTTGTTCCGAACTATGAATTTTATAACACTTTGCCTCTTTTAAATCTTGACATATGTTCTCCTTAAGAGTATCTCCAAGGGAACTTTCTATGTTTTAGCTAAATTCTAATTCAAATGACTAGAAAGCTATTAGCTAGTAACTTTTTAGTGAGTCACTCCAACCATACTCTCTATGTTAGCTGAACATAAATAATTTTAATATTTATTGAATTTACATATAAATAACTTTTTTAATTTAAAAAAGAACATTTGCATTTATTGGGTATGAAACAATAAAATAATACAATAAATCAAATAGCTAGCCACTTCTTGCTAGCTATATTTAGCTAGTGTGAAATGGATTCTCTAAAATAGCCAACCATTTAGCTAATGGTTGGAGTGGAGAAAAATTAAATTCTAGCTAAATTATTAACTATTTTAGCTAAAAACATGAAATAGCTAGCATGGTTGGAGTTGCTCTAAAATATGAGAAGTTAACAAAAAGGACCCTTATGTTAGAATCGTTAGGGAAATTGTAGCATATAGGTCAAATTTCTAGACTGACGAAGGTAAATAATAGTTTTAAGTTTGATAGAAATAAATAGCACTTTACAACTTGATTTGACAAAGTTGTGTTTTATTTCCTCTCACTTTCTTCTCTTAGATCTAGATCTATGTCTTTCTCTCATCTCTACCCATCTTTCTCTCTCTTCCCTCTCTCTTCTCCCAACTGGCTCTCTTGCCTCATTCTTCTTCGGCGTCATGACAAAACACCGTTGTCGTCAAGTTCGTCGCTGTTGTTGTCCAAGTAGTGAGCATCGTTGTTATTTATTCTCTCTCTCTATCTCCTCCTACCATTTCTCTTCTCCACTTGTCGATCCTCTCCTTCGGTGGGTTTTCAGAGTAATTAGGTTGGGGCTTTTTACTCCCTGTGACCGTTTGAGTGTAATGGGATCGGAGTTGTACGCCGACGATGCCGAAACGGCGAATTACGCCGTGGTGTGGGCTGTCAGGGGTGATCATGAAATTCACCGTTTTCGGCATCGTTGGTGAATTTCAAAAAGCTGTCAGGGGTGTGGGCTGCAGGGGTGTGAAGGTTGCAAAGGGTGGGGGCGGTGATCATGAGATCTGCGATCTCTATCTCTCTCCCTTTAAAAAATATTAAGACATTGTTTTTTTCACGACTCAAGTCACAATTCAAGTTCTATTGCTATAGTATTTTCTCTCATAATAATTCAAATAATTTTTTTTTGACAGTATTTTTCTCTCACATACACAACTCAAGTTCTTAACTTGAGATTTAAGCACAAATAGCCCCTTTTGAAACAATATATTTTCTCTCAACTTGAGTTGTGGAACAATATATTAAGAGATTTAAGCACAAATGGCTCTTTTTGAAAGATTTTTTTTTATATAAATAGTTGAAGTTCTGTAAAATTACATAAATGACCGTTTTTATTAACTTAGTGATCAATCACTAATTGCTTTAACGGTTTATCATTGACTTAACGGTCAATCACTGATTAACTAAAAGGTCTATTAATGATTGATTTCAGTTCACTGATTAACTCGATAATTTTTCATTATTAATCAATACTAATTAATAATTAGTTAAAATTAATTAGTAATTAATTCATTTTAATCAACAAGTTATGAGTTGATAAATTAATAACTAATCGGTTAATTAATGTGAATCAATCATACTCTGTAAACAAAACGGCTAATTCTGTAAAATAAAAGAAAATAAAAAAGCTTCATTATTTTATTTATGAAAAGTGGCCGTAAATAAAGGCTCTGTTCATTTCGCTGATTCGAGTTTTGCTACAGTAAAAAGCTCTCATAAATAATCACTTCTAATTTTTTTACTACAGTAAAAAGCTCTCATATAAAATCACATTTTAATTTGAATTAAAAATTCGAATCAATGAACTAAACAGGTAAGAATTTAGCTAATTTTTTGAAAAAAAAGGAAAGAAAGAGAAAAAAAAAAAACCCCTTTCACTTGCACTCCTGCACACTCACGAGAAGAGCGAGAGCGCCTCCTCCTCTGCCTCCCTCACTTCCACAAGCAGACGCTGCTGTGCGCCTCATCACCACGCGCTCCGTCACAGCGTTTGGACTCGTCGCGCCGATCCACCGCCACGTCTTCGTCTTTCCTCCCTGCCATTCGCCTCTGGTATGTTTCTAGCTTTTATTTCTTCAGTTTTGCTTCTGTTTTTTTGAGTTCTTTTTAGATCGCACAAGGAAATGAACACTTTTTTTCTTCTTAAAGGTTCTTCTTCTCCTAAAGAAGAGAAGGCTTTACTGTTAGCTCAATTTTAGATATAGAGCATGGTGTGATTAGAACGACGAGTTTTTTATTTTTTATTTTTTTATTTTGAAGAGATGTTGGGATTATCGTTGGGAGAGAAGCAATTCATAAAGGGTGGGATTGCTCAGGACCTTCGTTCTGATGGTCGGAAAAGATTAACTTACCGCCCCATCTCTGTCGAAACTGGAATCATTCCGCAGGTACAGTATTATTTTCTATATGTATATGTATATGTATATGTATATACATATACTTATATATTAATTTAATTCTCACTTTCCGCATCGTTTTCTTACAGGCAAGTGGTTCCGCGAGGGTCAGGATGGGTGCCACAGAGGTTATTGCCAGTGTCAAGGTATTTATCCTTTTGCTTTTAGACATTTACGGAACCATAAAGAAATTTAATAGGAAAAGTGATGAGATTGGTTAGCGAGTAAAGTAATAAAAAGTGAAAAAGATTAATTCCCTTTTTAGTGTTTACTTGTCTATTAGATGGTTGTCTATTGGATGGGGTAACGAGAACAATCCAATTTTAGACTCCTTCGGGTGTTTACTAAACTTAAGAGCAGTAATCTTATCAATGTAATTACTAAAATGTCTTTTTACACAATTGATATATAATTGGCTTATGACTCTGGAACTTATTTAGAGTATGCTAGTAAATTTGCAATTGATTTCCTTTAGCCTTGAATGAATTCCAAGGAGGTGTAAAGATTGACATTCTCCTTCTCTGTTTCTCATATTTTGTGGGACCCGCTAAACTAGGTAAACACGTGATTAGATGAGAAAAAGAATTACTCCTTTTCCCTTTCCCTTTCCGTTTCACGTGAAGTAAATGCGCGTGCGCACGTGTGTGTGTGTGTGTTTTTTTTTTTTTTTTTTTTTTTTTTTTTTTTTTTTTTTTACAACATAAACTTTACCTACTTTGATCTTACCATTTAGGTTCCTAATATGATTTAAAAAAAAAAAAAAAAATGCAGGCTGAGCTTGGAAGACCAAGTCCACTGCAACCAGATAAAGGAAAGGTTGCTATATATGTAGATTGCAGTCCAACAGCAGAACCAACGTTTGAGGTTGTGTACATTCACTTATGCTGCTTTCTAGTATCTTTGCTTTGTTAACTTAGGTTGTAAATAGAGTTACCAAGATGAATTATTGGAGGTTGTTACCGTATCAATTGTGCTGAAGAAATAGGTATATCGTTTGTGCGCATGTGGATATTGAAGCCATGTGGTAGATTGATACAAATAGTTTTACTGCCAAGGACCTACATCACACACACACACTAGTGTTACATGTAACTAACTTCTAGTTACATTTCCACAGGGTAGAGGGGGTGAGGAGTTGTCAACAGAACTGTCAGTCGCTTTGCAGCGTTGTCTCTTGGGTGGTAAAAGTGGTGCAGGTTTGTGAAAAAAGTAACCAACAATTGTTGCTTTTGATAAACTTCTTCTCATTAGGCTTAGTATTCAATTTTCTATTCACATCGACTATATATTGCTTTTTTCAATTTTCATTGACTACATACCGCCTTTTCAATTTTTCTTCAGGTGCTGCAATTGATCTCTCATCTCTAGTAGTGATAGAAGGAAAAATCTGTTGGGATCTCTACATTGATGGCCTTGTTGTCAGTTCAGATGGGAATCTTCTAGATGCCCTTGGTGCAGCTATTAAGGTAGTTGGTTGTTCCTATTTAATTGCATTTTTACTTGTACTGCTCTCTCTGTATATATATCATCATATCATGTAAGCTTTCAATCTTGCTTTATGCAGTTTACGCTGAACTAGAAAAACACAAATTTTCTTCATATTTTCTCGTACAGTTCGTTCATGTAAATCCCCGCTATCATTTAAGCTTTTAATCCTCTTTTACGCATGTAAGCACTGCACTAAGTTTTACAAAGTTTCGTTAGTTGAACATTTTCCCCTCATAGCATGCCCTTATGTACAGTTGTAACAATTTTAGTAATATCACATTGCCATAAAAGTTCTCCAATTTTTTTATGCCAAGTGATAGGTTAGTTTTAATTTAGCATTTTGTATTTAGTGAGAAAGATGACTCGTTGATGGGGAGTGCGATATTATGTTTCTAACATTTAGTTTTATTTAATTGAGATTTATATAATTTTTCCCATAATCAACTTTTGTTAATAGTTTCCTTATTTATTTGGTTTAGTCTCGTAGTTTGTTATTTGGTTTGCTTATAAATAAGTTAGTTTATAATTCAATAAAGACGTGGTTGAATAATGAATATTAAGATTCTTGGTTTCATTCTCTTGATTTCTTGTTCTTTCTAGATTCCTCTCTTTGCTATATTTCTGCGTATCCAATCTCCAACGATTCTAGTCGATCCTCTCTTTCCTCTCGGTCCCACGCCCGCTTATATACAAAATTTGGGATAATCTTAGCATATCTAGTATTTTTTCTACAAACATTCACATTGTTTCTGTGAATTTAAAGTGTTATTCTCATCATGTCCATTTTGTGGAAATTGAAACTCAAAACTAATTATCTAATTGTTTTTCAATAAAATAAAAAGAAAAGAAACTGATGTTCCCCACAGGCTGCTTTGAGCAATACAGGCATTCCAAGAGCTAATGTTGCATCAGGTGCCTCAGGCGATGGGCAACCCGAGGTTGACATAAGTGATGAAGAATTTCTGCAGTTTGACACATCTGGGGTCCCTGTCATTGTCACGTTAACAAAGGTGACATAAGTTTTTCTCTTGGCAATTCTTCATTACAGGCCCAATGTTTCTTGCATATGATTAGCCTCTCCAATCTGTTTCATAGGTGGGCAAGCACTACATTGTGGACGCTACTGCAGAAGAGGAATCTCAAATGAGCTCGGCTGTTTCTATTTCTGTCAATAGGCAGGGGCACATATGCGGTTTGACCAAACGAGGTGGCGCAGGCTTAGATCCAAGCATCATACTTGACATGATATCAGTGGCGAAACATGTCAGCGAGCAGTTAATAAACAAATTGGATTCTGAGATAGCTGCTGCTGAAGCTGATGAAGAAGAATCATGACAAGATAGATCCTTTGATATCTGTAAGTTGGTCCATTCAATGGTACAGCTTGTTGTTGCAGGATGAGCGTAGTGTAGACGCTGTTGTGTGCTAATTTTTTCAACCATAATTAGTTTTAGTTGTCATGAAAGAGACAATCTTGTAGAAGCACTATACAAGTTTAGGTCCTTGCTTATTGTTTGGTTATAGAGATCAGCCAGGTCATCATGAATTTTGACTGAAAGATTTTGGGTGCTATAGTTGTCATTGTTTGAATATAAATCTTTTGATCATATTTCAGTTCATATATATGTTTGAACAAAAAAAGATCATACAAGTCTCATTTCATATATATATATATATATATATATATATATATATATATCTCTGTGTGTGAGCGCGGCAGATATATATTATATATATATTGCTGGTTGTAAGCGGCTGCCATATTTATAAATTTGTCATCTGCAACTTGGAAATGACTCTTATTTTCAGGTGCCATGTGATTGTTGTGGGCTTAGGGACTATGCAGAGTAGAAGCAAGCCGTTGTAATGTTGGTTTGACTAGGTCTTTCAGTGCAATACTAACTAAAGGAAGATTCTTAAAATACGGTTTATGAGTTCTATGGTAGGGATACGCATCAATAGTACATGTTTTGAACGTTTGACTAGGTTAGATCTAGTTAAAATCAAATCAAAATAAAAAAAAGCATATAGAACTAATAAATTCTGATACAGAGTTGACAATAAAAAACAGAGCTCTACTAGGAGGGTGGGAAAAGAAAAAGAAAAAGAAAAGGTTAATTTCAAACTTCGTCCTGAACTTTGTGATTATTAACTTACTATGTTCTTGTAATGTTTGTAGTCAATGTTGGATAACTCGATCTTGGCCATCCCATCACTATTTATATGATAAATGAAACTCACAATTGAACACTACGGTTGCTTGGTAAACATAGAGTGACAGTACATGTGGCACGATATGATGGTCTTAAATTTGCCAACAATAAAACCTCTTGGAGAAAATTAAGGCAATTTAACATTCCCTTGTCTTTCTCCATTTTGCCTTTCCTTTCTGCTGTATGTTTCAAGTTGCAGAGCTCGTTTTTGTTTTGTAGTTTTGGAGCTTCATCAATGGCAACTTGCAGACCGACCAGAAATGGGAAGCATGAGTCTAGCAAATTTTTGGTTTGGTTCTGATAAGTTTGTGCAGTGTAAGTAGGTATACACCTGAGATGTGGGGAGATAGGTTATTAGCGGAATGATATCCGTTGCTTTTTCAGGATTTTCAGCTTGACAAATTGTTTATCAAGCAGTCGTAGTGTTCAATTGCATGTTCAATGCCATAATCATTTGTTATGACTGATCCAAACGTGATTATAAACATTCAACACCCCAAGGAATGCTATAGCGTGAAGCTGCACCCAACTCACTAGTCCAGCTGTAGTATTAAATTTGTGGGTTTATGATAAGAACCGAACTTGAATTGAGGAATTGAACAGAAAAGCAAAATTATATTGATGAAGTAATTGAAAGAGATTACAAGATAGATTAGCAGATGTTCGAGAGGTCTGCTAGCTCTCTCAAGGGTTTTTCCAGTTTACTCTAATCCATCCCCCACCTTTAGTCTCTTTCTATTCCTTATATCCTACTAACTAGCTTAACAAACATAACAAACCACAATCACTTATTATATTGATTACTAATTATTAACATAATCATATCATTACTCCCCTCCCCAAGACACCTTGTCCTCAAGGTGTGGTCAAGTGCCCCGCAGTGGAATGACGCCATCTCCTTCCCATGTCGTCAAGCCCACCTTTCAGAATGTTGAAGGGCATTGCAATCCTTGAAGAGCCAACTTCAGCGGTGACAAACCAAGGCAGAAAAGGTACCACAGAAGTGTAATCAAGAGCAGCCATTGGAGTCATTGTTCAGTCCACAAAACATAGAAATTTTGGTTTTTGTAGTTACAAACTCAGAAATATCAGATCTTCTATTTGCAGTGTGTCCAAGTCCTACTCCAATGAAGTCAATTTCTCCATTCCCAGCCCCAGGAGTGCTGGAATTCCCAGACCCAGTCATATTTGGGCCAAAATTTGAGGACCCATTGAAAGCAGATTTGAAAGGAATAATCTGTGATATTTTATTAAGGTGGCGGAAATACACTTAAATAGGCAGCAAAGAAAATAACAGAATAAAGAAAATCTCCCTAATAATGTGGCTGATTTGCTGTAACATTCAAATCATATTTTATTGACTAAGTCCTAATCCTAAACAACCGGATAATCAATAAGGAAGATTTGAATATTTCAAATTAATTCAAAATCTTCTAGATTGATTTAATCCAGCAGAATCTGATCAAATCAATTTGATCTGATCTGCCAACACTCCCCCTCAAGCTTGGACGTAGATGTCTATGAGTCCGAGCTTGCTTGCTAATGCTTCAAATGCTGGTCCGTCTAATCCTTTTGTGAGAATATCATCCACTTGTTGCTTCGTAGGAATATATCCCACACAGATTATTCCACTCTCAATTTTCTCTGTGATGAAATGTCTGTCCACCTCCACGTGTTTAGTTCTGTTGTGATGAACCGGATTATGTGCTATGTTGATTGTAGCTTTGTTGTCGCAATAGAGCTGCATAGGGAACTCACAATCGATTCTCAATTCTTCCAGTAGTCGCTTTATCTAGATTGCCGCACAAATGCCATGAGCCATAGCCCTATATTCAGCCTCAGCACTACTCCTTGCAACTACACCCTGTTTTTTGCCACGCCAAGTCACCATATTTTCCCAAAGCTGAGTGCAATATCCAGATGTTGACCTCCTATCTTTTCAGAACCTGCCCAATCTGCATCTGTGTAGATTTTTACTTTTCTATCTTCGTTTTTTTGAAAGGACAGTCCTCTCCCCGGATTCTTCTTGAGATATCTTAATATACGATAAACTATATCAAGATGTCTTTGGCACGGTGAGTGCATGTATTGGCTGACCACACTAACTGCAAATGCTATGTCCGGTCGAGTATGTGAGAGATAGATCAGTCTTCCCACAAGCCTTGTGTATCTACCGGATTTCCATCAATCGAGTTCTTCCTGCCTTTTGGTTCAATTAGAGAGTCTATGGGCTTACAACCGAGCATTCCTGTCTCTTTCAATAAATCCATCGTATACTTCCTTTGTGATATGGAGATTCCCTTTTTACTCCTTGCAACCTCTATTCTTAGGAAATATTTCATGAATCCCAGGTCCTGATCTCAAATGCCCTTGCCATAATCTTCTTAATTTCTTCCATCTCTTGAAAGGTATCTCCAGTCAATATTATGTCATCCACATACACGATCAAAACTGTAACTTTCTTGTTTGTTGAATGTTTGACGAGGAGAGTATGATCTGTTTGTCCTTGTAAGTATCCATGACCTTTGATTACTTTGGAAAATCTTTCAAACCAAGCCCTGGGTGACTGCTTTAGGTCGTATAGTAACTTCTTCAGCTTGCACACCGTATTGTCCCGTTTGTCTTCATAGAAACCAGGTGGAAGGCTCATATATACCTCTTCTTCTAACTCTCCATTCAGGAAGGCATTCTTCACATCAAGTTGGTATAGAGGCCAATCCATATTTGCTGCTAAGGACAAGAGAACTCGAACAGTGTTGAGCTTTACAACTGGAGCAAATGTTTCTGTGTAGTCTATCCCGTAGGTTTGTGTGAAGCCCTTTTCCACCAATTGGGCTTTGTATCGCTCCACTGAACCATCTGGTTTTACTTTAATCGTGAACACCCACTTGCATCCCACTACTTTCTTGTTTTGTGGTAGTTCCACAAGGCTCCAAGTCTCATTTTTTTTCAAGTGCACGCATTTCTTCTAGCACAACTAACCATTTTGGGACAACTAGAGCTTCCTCAATAGTACTGGGAATATCAAGTCTAGAAAGATTTGTTGTGAAGGCTCGAAACGAGGTTGACAGGTTATCATATGACACAAATTTAGAGATTGGGTGTTTTGTACATGACCTAATACCTTTTCTTAGAGCAATGGGATCATCTAGCCTATCATGGAGAGTTTCGGGATTACCTGAGGATGAAGGACTAGAACCCACCATAGGTTTGGATTCAGGGCAGCCCGTAGTGCCTGTGAGTTGTTTATTTCCTTGAAAATCTTTCCTCCGAGAGTAGACTTGCAGTTCTTGCTGATTTGAAACTGAAGGAGGTGGTTGTAGAGTTGGCAATGAAGATGGCTGTAGGGTTGGCTGTGAAGGTGGCTGGGAAGATGGCTGCAATGGTTGGGAAGATGGCTGTAGTGGCTGTGGAGCTTCAGGCTCTGTTTCGATGTGAGCTGGAGCTGAAATCTCGACAATGGTGGCTGACTGTGGGGTCGAAGTCCCTTCAATTGTGGTGTCCCATTCCCACACATAAGCTTTTTTATCATTACTCTCTCCCTGAAGCGAAGTGTGGGAATAATATGGTATCTCTTTAAAGAAGGTAACATCTCGGGTAACAAAGGATTTTTTTGTTTTGGTGCAGAAACATCGATATCCCAGTTTTGTTGGAGAATAGCCAAGGAATATAGTTTTTATGGCTCGAAGGTCGAGTTTGGAGCGGTGTTGGGAATGGACATGGACGAATGCAGTGCATCCAAAGGTTTTGAGAGGAAGGTTATTGGTGAGGATATTCAGGTGTGCAGCTTGAGTTGTGAGGACAGACAATGGGGATTTAAATTTGAGGGGACGGCTGGGTAATCTATTGATGAGAAAGGCAGCGGTTAAAATGATGGACAAGATAATTACTCAAAGTGCATCCAAAGGTTTTTTTTCTTTCTGAGACTCCATTTTGCTGTGGTGTATCAGTACAAGAACTTTGGTGAACGATTCCATGATGGACAAGATAATTACTCAAAGTGGACTGAAAATATTCACCACCGTTATCAGTTCTTAAAACTGAACTTTTTTTTTCTTTTGAAATTGGGTTTGAACCATTTTATGGAAGGTTTGAAAGATTTGACAAGTTTCAGATTTTTCTTTAAGCAAGTAAACTCAAGTTACTCGTGTATGGTCATCAATAAATGTGATAAACCATCGTTTTCCATTCAAGGCCGTTACCTTAGATGGACCCCATATATCACTGTGAATTAAGGAGAAAGGCATAGAGGGCGTATATGGTTTTGGTGAGAAAGGAACACTAGTATGTTAGCAAGTTGACAAATATCACAAGCAAAGGAAATATAATCTTTATTTCTAAATAGAGTTGGTAACAAAAACTTCAAATATGAAAAATTGGGGTGGCCTAGTCTATGATGTCACACCATTATTTCTCTATCAGCAGAAATCGAA